GAAAAAATGGGGTATACAGATGAATGTCCATTTTGTATCTGTGTATTCAAAGTGGTTGGGATAGATATATAGTTACATTGTTAATGAATAGAATGATTTGTTCTAATGGTGTTTGTAAATAGGATCACAAGTTCGCATCTTGTACAGCAATTAACCACTAAGAAGAATATATGCAGTGTATTATTTGTTGAAAAATAAAAAAAAAAAAAAGAGAGAAATGCAGAGGGGAAAAGGGGTCAGTGCTAAACTGGGAGCTGCCCGTGCCCAAGCCCAGCACATAAAGTGGCTTCAGGCAGAAGTGGAACAGGGAAGGGTGTCACAGGAGCTGCCTAAGGTGGACTGAAGGGATAGCACCAACCAGGTTGACGATGGCCCAACTGCCCTGAGATTCCTATCCCTACAGAAGCTCCTGGCTGGTTCCTCACCTGCTGCAGAGCAAGTTGCTACAGAATCTGCCCCAGAACTTGCCCTCGGCTACCCTGCAGTACATTCCAGCTTTCCTCTCTGTGCCCAAAGAATCCTACTCTGAAGTCCTTCCTTTACAGCAAATTCTGGTCTTTGATCCTCTGGCTTGAGATTTTCCAAGCTCCGGATCTCAAATGCTGAAACATAAGGGGTTCTTTGCCATCAGTTCTGTTATTTGCAAACCTATTATGAGGATTTCATCACATTCCTCTAAGCTGAGGGCTGTCTTGTGGGGAGACTGCAATACTCCTGGGAAGGACATTTGACATTCCCTCTTTCACTGAAAGAGGCAAACAGCTAAGTCCTGACTATGTCTCTCCAGTGGTGAACCCCCAAAACAATCTCCTTAGCCCACTTTAAAGGGCAATTCAACTTTTCCTGCAAAACTTTGCTATAGTAAAAAACCATTTTAAAAGAACTGCTAAAGGTGGTTAGAAGCTTTTCATGTTGAACATTTTAAAAAGGCAATTTATTCAAGTGTTTTTCAGGGTAGCCGGGGCTGGGTAATGGGTATTTACCAATGCACCAGTGAAAGGTATCTTTTTCAAACTGGCTCATTTAAAAGGCAGACAAAGAATGGGTTTCCGTCACAAGGAGGAAGATCTTTAAAATATTCCAGTTTTCTAACCAGAAGATTGCACTGCTATTGGATTTCCACACAACGAGCTGGAACTTATGGTGGAAAATGGGGTCTCGCCCAGGTCCAGCAGTCCAGTTCCCTGATCAGTATGAATGCTGAATGCCATAGCAATGTCCCACCACTTCGCTACATCTCCACTTACATTTTAGGAAGAGTGACAAGCTGGTGTGTGTGTGTGGGGGGGGGGTGTATGCACATAATGAAACCATGATAGAACTGGATGAGTTTACAATCCTTCCCCACAAAAAGATTGATAGAGAACACTACTCACTTGGAAAACTCAAATTTGATGCTTGCTTGTAAAGTTTATTGACAACTGTTTGGTCCCAACACACAAAACAGCACTTGAACCACAAAAAGTGTTCTAACAAAGTAGACAGTTAAGAAAAACATCTCTTCCCCCAAGCCCAATCCAAAACAAACAGTGCAAGATGGGAAAGGGGGTTTTGGTGATAATTTTTGTCTTTTTTTAAACAGATAAATCTCAGCAGATACATCTTTCCATCCAGAAATAAAGCACTTTATCATCTTAATGTACATATATCATTTTGTCATCATTCATTAAGCCTCTGGATAAAAAAATAGATAGGAATTGGACTGGCCACTGTGGCAAACACCGTGAACACAGCGTGCTTCTGCTGCACTTTCACATTTTCAACAGCAACTGTTAGTCACACATGTGTCCCAGACTAACAGGCAGCTCCAGTAAATGCTATGAACATACACTCACATGACAGTGCAGGACACCTTTTTCTGCTGCTCAAAGAATCTGTTCTTTGAGACTGTTCCAAGTGACTTGTAGTAATGCCTAACAAGGTTTTAAAGTTCGCAATTTTCTGCATGCTAGCAAAACCAAAAATCCAAGCATGCAAACTCAGCCTTATGAAATCTTAGTATAAGGCAACTGATGTTCTCAACACCAACTTCATCATGTTGTTTAAAAGCGTCTTTTTAAAAATTGTACATCTGCATTTTACTTCCTGTAACACTATGTCTGTAGGGGAAATACCTGTAGAAGGATTTGCAAAGTGCCATAATACTTTAGAAAGGTTTTCCAGGGTTGTTCATCTTGATTGGGACATGTATTGAGAGGTGGAAATCACTGGCTTCATTAAAAAGATTCAGGGAACAAAAAACCTAACTCATAAAAATCTTTCTGTAGCCCTTATTTTGTGGCATTTTATCAAAATGCTGGCTACAAATCAGAGTCCATTTTTTGGCTTTCTAGAAATTACAAAACACAAATATGTCCCCAAAAGAAACCATCTAACGAGTGCAAGACCTTGCGCCAACAGGTTTTTCTGCTCCATGAATGAATCCACCTTTTTGCCCAACAAATACAATCCATTGTAAATGTCAGGTTTCTCCAGCAGGGGTGAGAGGCCAGCCATGGGCAGACACCTCAGGCACCCAGAAAAGAAGGACATTTCACAGGGCAGTGCCCCTACAGGTTGGCTTTTCCCAAATGACAACACACAAACATACACTTCCAATAGCAAGAAGCAGCACGACTAAAAACAGATGCTATTAAAAGACACTGAGCTAACATAGACACACACGTCACACAAAAAGCTTCCCAGCTACCAAAACCAGCTTTAAAGGTATAAAAACAAGGTTAAGCCGATCAACCTTGGCCTTCTCATGTACAGATAGAATTCTTGTCTCTTCCTAGTGGAAATAGTATCGACTCTGCTCCTATTGAAGTACTTTACCACTCAGCTCTGATTTATAATTTATGCATTTGATGCATATTTTAGAAAATCAGACTTTCTAATACAGCCTCCTGACACACAATGATGTGTGTTGTAATTCAAATGCTGACTTTAAATTCATGACATCAAGACCATCTCCTTTTCCTTAACCTAATCACATCAAACTGGAATTTAATGTAGAAGGGAAGTGTAAAACATCTTTAACTTTCTAGAAAGCTCCTAAATGGAACCCCAAAATCGAAACATTTAAAAATAATTTATGAAGCCACATTTGTCAACTACAGACATAGTTAAATAAAAAACAAGGCACACTTACAAGTCACAGGGAAGCCAGGAACCTTCATCCCAACCTGACACACAGCTCATTTCCTCACCAGCCCTTCACCCTCCGTGTGTGAACGTCCAGGCCCACAGGCTTCACTTCAGAGATGCATCACGCATTTGATTAAGGAACACCAGTAAGCGCTGGTGGAAAGGCTCTGCTGTGCTACATGGGGTTACACCACCCACGGGGCTCAAGAAGCCAAACCGATTCCTGCTACCTGAGTTCTCACTGCTTGCTTCTTCTGGACCACCAGTTTCATAATAATTAAGAAGAATTTGGTAAATTAAAGGTTCTCTGACAAATGTCAAAAGTTCTTTCAAAGAACTGGGGGGAAAAAGGGGAGAAGAAAAAAAGTTCAGCTAAAAGCTGTATTCAATGTAAAAGAAACAAAAACATTACGGAATACATCTAAAGATGTGGCTTCAGGGTGGGAGGTGGTTCAATGAAACAGAAAAGGACGTTTTTTAAGCCCATTTTTGTGTGCAGAATCAGACAGTTTTTTCCCCATTCTAATTCTATGTTCAAAATGGGAGTTAAAGCTTGGTTACAGGTGCCAAGGAAAAGTTGGCTGCCAGTTTTATTCTATTCTTGGGTTGCTTTTTGGCCGGGCTTTCCACAGGGTCCTTGCTCAGCAGAGACTCTGGGGCATCTGAGCAGGGGCAGGGAGGCACTGGGGCAGCTGCTGGGACACAAGATGAGCTGGAATCAGAGGGCACGTTTTCCTTCTTTACCGGGACAGGAATTTCAATATTTTCTTCTTGGTTCAAAGTCTTGTTTTCTATAAACACAGAAAATCAAACAGATATAGTTATAAGACTTATAAAAAGTGTTAGCTTTTGTACAACCACTATGGAAACAGTATGGAGAATCCTCAAAAAACTAAAAATAGAAATTCAACTTGCCCCAGCTGTACCTCGTCTCAGTACGCTCCCACCACAGTTAAATATAGCATGCTACAGTGATACCACACACCTACATTTAGAGCAGCACAAGTCACAATAGCTGAGCTCTGATGCCCACAGAAGAATGGACAAGTCCAATGTGACATGCATGTACAACGGAGTATTGGCTACAAAGAACAAAACCATGCCATTTGCAGAAAAGTGGATGGAAGCTGAGAACATAATGTGAAGTGAAATAAGACACAGAAAAGTTAAGTATCACATGGTTTCTTTTATATGAAAACCCCAAAATGTGCATAATCTAAAGAGTAAGATGAAAGAGCGATGGCAAGAAACAAAAAGACTTTTTGCAGATGAGGGAGGATCTGGAAAGCAAAAGGATTAAAAATGATCAAGGTGTGTTCTATGTATACATCAGTTCCCCAAAATAAACACCATCAGTATGAAATGCAAACAGAATAACAGACTGAAAAAACAAATGATTTTCACTTCTTCACTTGTATTTCCTCAAGAAATACCTTAAAAACAACCTACCACATGTCACAACTATGCCACAATTCAAATATTAGTTATGTGCCTTATTATTATGTGTTGCAAAATTCAAATTCTAATAAACTACATCTCTCTTTTCCCTGGATTATATAGTTTTAGAGATCTCACTTTTGGCTACAAGTCAAGTGTTTCTCCATTTGAATTCTCTCTGTTGGGTTGGCAAGGATCCACACGCTATGCATAAGTGTTCTGAGCCCAAGGGGAGGGGCCCTCATGCCAGGGCGCTCCTGGTCCATTTTATTTCTATTCACATGGATCCAACCCCAGCTGATAAGGGGAGAGCTGTACTAAGTCAAAACTGCTCTAAAAAAAAAATCAAGTAAATCAAATATTTCCAGTTCCCCTGGAGTATTAGCAGACTGCTATTTCTCTGGCTGAGCCACAAGTAATTCACTTAAAGCCCTGTTGCTTGAGAAGGATGTTTTATTTATTCATTTATTTATGTATGTATTTTAGTACAGGGTCTATTGGGTCTCACTACACGGATTAGACTTATAGTGATCCTCCTGTTTCCAGCCTCCCAAGCGCTGGGATTACAGGCGCGCACCACTATGCCCAGTCTCAATTGCCATCTCAGTGCCTCTCGGGGTGGTGGGAGAAAGCACAACAAGGAACACCTGGGATCACTGCATTCTGCCTAAGCAGGTGCTTTAGTCCACTGAGCTATCTGGCCAGCCAGTATTATTTATTCATTAGACCTTAGACTGCACTGTGAGGAGCAAGGGACACCTGCTGCCGAAGGCACGTACAAGGTGAGAGTGACAAAAGTGCCTGCAGAACCCTCAGCTCCTGAGGGCACTGGACAGACCATCCCATACTGTTCAAATTTCTTCCCTCCTTTCTCCCTCTCTCATCACACGCATATGGTTGAGCTTGCATACATTTAATGCATAAAAACTACAACTCCACAGTAAGGCCACTGCTGACCTGCCACCGCTGCGGTTACATACTGCAGAGGAACACACCGTAAGCCCCCACCTCTTCCACGGCTGGCTCTTCCCAGGCCATTTTATGTTTCCCTACCCCTAACTTTCAGGTACACAGCTTCAGTTCTTCACTGGTCAACAGTGTCAAACACTGTTCAGGATGACCAAGGATAGTAAGAGCCTGCCCAGTAGCAGCAGGTGTCTCTAATGCTCTCGGTACAGCAGGGAAGAGCCAGATTCCAAGGTATGGAAAAGAAAAGGGAAAGCTCTTACAGGGCAGGGGCTTCCTTGCAGGAAGCTGCTCCATTCAAATCCTGGCTCTGCCATGTCCCAGCTGTGTGGCCCAGGGCAGCTGTGTTACGGTGCGAGCTGTGCCTACATTAGCCTCCAGCAGTGTCCAGTCTGAGTTGCATATGGTCATGTCCTGTCAGCTTTGAGCACGGAGCTAGCATTGGTGGCTAATGCACCCTGTGTTGGCACTAAGTTGGGACTTGACAAGGACAGTTTCTTTTCTATTGTTTCTGGGCAACGTCCAGGGTTCAAGTTACAGAGGCTTTTCTCCACTCATATCTTCAAAAAGCCCATGGGGTCCCCACCACAGTGACTAGCAAGGGTCAGACTTCAGAGCTCAGAAGAAAATGACATCAGTCTCCCCATGCCAAATCTCTGAAAAGGGTGGGAAACCAGAGATCCTGAAGAATTTCTCATCCTCCTTTGTGGACTCTTCCACAGCCGTGATTATCCTATGGCCTTTAAACCACCTCTGTTTCCTTGCTTGATGCTCCCCAAGCAACCCTGGGTTGTAAATCCTATTTGGCAGGGACCCTGATGAGGAAAGAAGGTCCTAAATTCTTTTCATCTCCCTCCAACGTTTAATATACTGGTATCATGGCTGTTACTTATTTCAATCCACAAAGAAAGTCCCCTCAAGCAGTGCGACTTACCAGATGGCTCTTGAGGGTGTTCCTCAAACTGAATTAGATCAGCGGACTGGAGGATAACAGGATCTGGTCTCAGCTGAGGGGACGGCAGACACGAAGGAACAGGCGCACACAGCAGGTCAACAGGGGAGCTGCTAGCCAGGCGGAGAAGCTCTTGATCCATTTCACTAGGCCCTTTACAGAGAAAGCAAGCTACAGTCTAAGGACAAACATCAGTCTGTACCTGAGGTTTCCTCAGTCTTAAAAACAAACATGGGTGACTGGTGAGATGGCTCAGTGGTCTAAAGCACCTACTTAGAACAAGCTAAACTAAGCAAAACACAGGGACTGCGGTTCAATCCCCCAGCACCACATGCCAGCCAGCCCCGCCCCCTGGTGGGCTGAGCTGGCCACACTCACACAAAATAAATAAATATTAAAAAAAAAAAAAAGAAAGAAATGTTAAAAAAAAAAACAAAACAACAAACAAACATGGTTGGTGGGAGATCAGGCTTATCAAAGGAAATACATGTTTGGCTACTCAAAAAAAAAAAAACCATGGCAACAAATACTCAGCAAATGTCAGCAAGGTTTTAAGAAAAAATTATCAGGAAAAGCTGAAGTTAAGAAATACCACAAGCCAGTCATCTTAATATTTGCGTTCCTCAAGACCCTATCAAGCAAAATGGGCTTTGCCATACCTTCTAGATAGAGCAATGCAAAACCCTAACAAGTGGCAGAGTGAAGCAGTTAAAAGAGCAAATGCTCAGAATTAGAGGATTTGGATCTTGGTTCTGTCAATTCTTAGCTGACATCTATAATTTCAGTTCCTCAGCTGGTAGAATGAAGCAACTCTTGCTAAAAGTCAAGTGAACAGTGTAAAGAAGTGACTTATAGTAGGTGCTTTAGCGAAGAAAAATGCTGCATAGTAAAGTTAAAACGTAGAATTCAAGAGAATTCATTTTTACCTATTACAGAGCTGACTCTACATGAAACTTTGTGAGTCAATGTTATTTTGAGGAATATTATTGCGCTGCTATCAAGTATTTCCTGGGAAAGGCTTCTGACAAAGACATGCCCTGACTGATCTTCCATCAGAAACCTCTGCATTTTCTTAGTCTTCTTTCTTGTCCACTTTGTCCTTGCCAAGTCCAGTTCTAGTGAAAATGATGAAATTTCTCATTCCCAACCCTTGCTATCTAAATGCTCGACTGCCTTTAGCAGAATCCTGTTAGGCCACGTTAACAAGATCCCCCAATTTCTGCTGTGTTCTTAAGTAATGTTTCTATCCACTGGTCCCCTCATTCTGCTCCTTGGCACTAAATCCCTACTTGTCTCTTTGTATCTGGAACTAAGCAGTCATTTCTAGTGCAATGGTCTTGTATTACTGTTACCAAGTGTCAGATGCTTTTAAACAAGACCTGAATTGGGCTATCAACATTATGGGATGACCTTAACCAGCTACTCACACATTGGAATCAAGTATAGGCCAGTTTATCCTGTTATGCATTACACACAAAATTGCTCTGGAAAAGCAATGACTAATTAACAAAATGACTTGCAGTCATCCTCTCCTCCACCCAAGCCGTTTCTCTGACAATTTCATTAGCTTTGCTTCACTGGCCTTTCCTCTCGTAACAGTGTTACCTGGTCCAAGCTGGGGTTCTGAGGCTGTGTGCAACTCGGTCACCTCCAGGATTTGCTCACTGTCTGCAGTGTAGCTTTCATGACTGGTAGGGGACAGACTGAGTGAACTCAGCCGGCCTAGAAGACAAGGAGCACCCGTCAGAGAGAAGAGTCAGAGAGAACCGTGACTGTTCAAGGGGCAGGGAACAGGTGCTTACTTACTTTTCATGTCATTTTTTAAAACTACAATTCTCTTATGACCATGTCCTTTTATCCAGACCACCTGCACACAAGACATACTACTGGTTAAACAGTGGAAAGGAGGGGAAATCACCCTAGCACTCAGGGAGACAGGGACCCCTGTACCTTCTATAAACATGCTAGATTTTAAAAACCAAATGAATGCCAAAAACAATTTTCCTATTCTCTTTAGCTTTTTGAAAGCAATAGAAGGAACCTGACAATACCACATTCCTTTGAAAGTCAGCTAGCTGAGAAATCATGAGACACAACTTTAAAAGTATGTTTTATGATTCCAAAAGACTGTCTTTCAAATATCAATTTGTGTACATAAATTAAGAAAGTCCTCACATGAGCGTATTTAGCCTTTTTTTTCCTCCTCAGAAACTAAATATAAGGCAAAAGAATAAAGATTTAAAGATTTCTCAGACCTGAAGTAAGTTACAGATCATCATCTTGGAACGAAGTCTTTACCTAAGAGTGCTCTCTCTACCTCCTCAGCCAGGATGGGGCGGAGGGTGGCCATCAGCTGCCAAGGCTTTCTCAGCGCACTCTATCGTCAAGTCCCTGATCTCAGTACCCAAGTATTCTTCATCTTTGCCCTTATTACTCTATTTCACTATAGGATAAGAATTCATTATCTAAAAGTCTCAGGACAAGAAGTGTCAGTTAATTTTTTTTTTTTTTTTAATTTCAGACTATATGCATATACATAATGTGTTGGCAGGCCAGAGCCATAGCTTAGGGGCACAGTTTGAGTCCTGGTACACCCTCCTCCAGAAAAAGAGAGATGTCTTTGGGAATCAGACATGAAACTAAAGATAAAACTCATTTATTTCACATACACTTTCTACACATAGCCTAAAGGTTTATTTATAAATTTTTAGTTATTGCCTTTTCACTCTAACCTGCCACATGAGGTCTGGTATGAATTCTTCCACTTGTTCCTTCAGGTGGGCGTTCAAAGAGTTTTGGATGTTGGAGAGCACTCTGGCCCCGAATTTTAGGTCTAGGGTTGCTCAATCCACATTTTTACCTGCCTTACCCTTCATCAACACCTCTGGTTCCTTGGTAGTGACCAGGCTCCTAGGCAGGCCCCTTCTTCCATCCTGTTTCCCTCACCTCTAATAAGCACAATAGTCACTGTGATGACTTGCAAAGGCAACCTGGACCTTCCCACTGTTCCCACCACACAGTTAAGCTCCTTAGCTCAGGAAGCAGAGCCCTTGATACTGGGCTCGGACTTCACAGGGATATCCCACCTAAGTCAGGCAAATGTTCTCCACCAAACACCCTCAGCCCCTCCAGCTAGGATTTTAATGTTCTGATGTCCCCTGCTCCTTCTAAATTGCTGACAACACCCTCTCAGGACTGCCCTGTTGGCTTTCGTCACATGGTGACTCATAAATGTCCTGGACAGCTGCACTGCAGGTCCCTCATTTCCAGAAGTGAGCTGTGCCAATGCGCACAATGAACAGAGGACTCACAGCTATCACTGCACTGGTCACACCAACTAATCATCACTTAGATGTCCTAATTCCCCTATTACCCAGCACTTTGCTGAGGGACAGATCTGAAACGTACTCATCTGGGATACAAGAATTTAATAAAGGCTTAAGGAATCAATGAGAAACAATAAAATCCTATGTATTATTATGCAAAGTCTTTTCTGAAAGAACCAGTTCAAAATATCAACCATTTTATTATTCTGGCAGTATCTTATAGGAATTAGCCCGTGGCTCTGCAGGAAAACACAGAAGCTGCGAAAAACACCCACCTGTGGGATTGCTCCCAAGAGCTCCTCCACACTGTTGTAGCCATATGTCTTGGGCTGCAGTGTTTCTCCAACGTACTTGGTATAGGCCATGGAAAATTCATGAAGGAAAATCTGCTGGTAGTGGTAAGTATGAAGTAAAGATCGCACATTCTTTGCAAATAAATACAGACTTGTGAGCTTCACACACTCTTCCATCTTATCATTTGTAAAAACCTGGTCCAAAAGAAAACACAGGATTAGAAACTTCTCAAATGACTAATCCTGTTCCCTCAAGTGTAGGTCTCCAGCTGACAAGCAAAAGCCCAGTCAGTCTAAAAATGAGCAATAACCTAAGGTGGAGGAGAAAGGGCAGGGGAGAGTACTCACTCCAGGGTCTCTTCTCAGAAAGTCCAAAGGCTTGAACAAATTTCATCTGCAAGTCTAAGATTGCAGAGTTTGAGACAATAGAGTGAGTAGAGAAGAAAACTAGGAAAGCGGTGATCTTAAACCAAGGAGGTATCACACACCTGTAATCCCCACACTCGGGAGGTTGAGCCAGGAGGATCTCTGAGAGTTCAAGACCAGCCTGGGGGTTACAAAAGTGAGCACAAGGATCTTCAAACTGAGCTACATTCCTAGTCCTGTTTATTTTTTATTTTGAGACACGGTCTTGCTTTGTTGCCCAGGTTGGGAATTTGTGATCCTTCTGCCTCATCCTCCTGACTGCTGGGATTACAGTTGTATCACTAAGCTCAGTTCCCAAACTAGTTTTCTAAGAAACACTATGACACAGAAAGAGATCATTCTTTGAAAACACAGATAACACAACACAAACATAAAAAACAACTTTTATGCTTCTGAGTTAAGGTATAGATTTTTTTTGTTTTTTTAAACCATAAACCTTTTCAGAGTCTTTAATATGCTCTGGAATCTCCAAGAGAAAGGCTACTTCCTAATCTTTTCTGGTTGTTTCAAGTTTAGTCCTACAATATCCATTAGCATTATCTAGAACAAGAGTTCACAGAATATAAAATTAATAGTTTAAAAAATGTTAGCTTTGCTATCTTAAAAATATCTATCACATAGTTATATAAAAATGGTTTATTGGGCAGGGACATAGCTCAGCAGCACAGCACCTGCCTGGCAAGCATAAGGTCCTGAGTTTAACACCCTGTACCCCCCAAAAAAAGTTTATCATTCTTTTATAGTATTTTTTTTTTTTTTTAAAGAGACTAGGTTTATGGTATTAAAGTTATTTTGGTACCATAAAAGTTAAATTTTTTTTTTGGTGGCTTTGAGTGATTCTTTAAGTGTTAGAATTACTTATTCTTTTAGGGTTTAGTTGAAAACTCCATTGTTAACCCATATTAACCCAATTGTTAATATTTGCTGCCCCAGGACTAGAGTTAGTATTCTCTCATGATTCTTCCCACCTTGCAGTTCTAATCTTGAAAGGCAACAGGGTTAGCCACCAGGTAACCTTCCTTCCTAACCCTTACCTCACTGCTAAGTCATCCAAAGCTGTCTAACATTCATACCATCTAATTCAGATATGCCACACCAACAAAATGCAGCCCGGTACATCAAGACACCAGGGTTTTTGTCTTGGCTTTATGACCCATTCTGTCAGGGTTCACTCATCCCATAAGGCTTCAGTTTGTTCATTCAGAAAATGATCCACAAGTCCTGAAGATTTCTAGGGTCCCTTCCAGCTCTACATGCTGGGCTTTTACAGAAAAGGGTCAACAGCTTTCAATACGATACAATTAACACATGTACCTCAACTAAGTAAGGCAGACTCTTCAGAAGTTCGGTCAAGGTCATGAATCCATATTCACATGGGTTAAGAGGAGAACTGTGGGTAGTTTCATAACGTCTCTTGAGTTCATCCACAGAAAGATAGGTGGTTCCTTCCCAAGACATCAACAGCACCAGCAACTGGGCAGTGAGGGACCGCAGAGACTTCCGGTTGATCAGCTGAATCTGTTTGCCAGACTCTATATCAGCAACCTGGGAAAAATGAGAATGCAAGTTTTTCAGAACTCAGATGAGACAACCTAGATTCTACCCAAGTCAGCTAATTCATTTTGGTTAAGGAGAATAATAGAAGAAAAATGTTTAATTCTTTTTCTCCGAAATGTGAATCTTCTTTGAACTTCTTTAAGATACCAGACCAACATATCAGGTGAGAAATGAGCAAACACTGTTGGTCAGTAACTGAAAACTTCCATCCAAAGCACCATTCTTTCCCAAGGCAATGGAGAAAGGACTGCTGCTATTATTGTGTTTCTTTTTTTGTTCTTTCACTGTACTGATCACTAAGGCAAGGAGGCAGAAAGTGTGACCAGTGCTGTCCCCTGGCCTATGCTCATGAATCATGGATTACCATGCTCAAAGGGAGAATGGGGATACAGAAGCTATGCTGGGAGGGGCAGAAGGTTCCCTCAGACTACTTACTAGCCAGGGTGCACTTTAAGTCTATTACTTACAATGAAAAAGTTGTCATTTTCACTTTTAACTCAATTTCAGTAGTGCCTTGCTATGTTGCAGTTTGACTATTGTGGACTATTTCACAGGTTTTCAAAAAATATTAATCGAAATTACTTATCACGAATTTTTCACGATGTCATAGGATTCTGCAGTAGTGTATAGTACTATATACATATTCATATGCATAGTATTTATGGTTTTAATGATTTTTGCCTAAAAAATTTAAAATATATAAAAATCTATTAAACATGTTGGGCTGGAGAGATAACTAGGCGGGCTAAACCTGGCAAGTGCAAGGACCCAAGTTAGATCCCCAGTACCTCATGCTGTTCCTGCCCTGGAACCCCAGGTATGCTGTGCTAGCCACCGAGTAAGCCCAGCACCGGGGAGGCTGAGACAGGAGGATCACTATGAGTCCAAGCTGCATAGTGAAACCCTGTACTAAAGAAAAGAAGACTTCAATAAAATTATGAAAAAAAAAAAAAAAAAAAAAGAAATGAAGACTGAAAATAAACTTATTTTAAAATGTTATTCTAACATATTAAAAATATGAAATTGAAATAAAATACATTGTTTACAGTATATATTTTTTAGTGGATGAATATATACTGTACCATACAGTATATGTATGTTGATAAAATAATGTAGGCTTTCCAAGTTTAGGAAATGGTTAAGAACAATTAAAGTATGGCAAAGGTTTATAAGAGTGCAGGATGGAAGGGCTGGCCAAATAGCTCAGTGGACTAAAGCAACTGCTTAGGCAGGCTCAGCGACTGAAGTTTGATCCCTGGTATGCCATGCTGAGACAGCCATTCAGACTGGGCATGGTGGTGCGTGCCTGTAATCCCAGTGCTTGGGAGGCTGAAAACAGGAGAATCACTATGAGTCTGATCTACATAGGGAGACCCTATACACCCTGTACTAAAGTACATTTTAAAAAAAAAAGTGTGGTAAGGGTTTATAAAGCCTTAAAATATAAATACTAAAATTAATATAACATCACTACTTCACCGATTTTCACTTATCGTGGGGGTGTCTAGAACACAGCCTCCACAATAAGTAAGAGACCACTGTATTCCGATTTTCACGGGGATTAAAAGTGTAAATGATTTAGTGTAATGGAGGGGAAACTGCAAAGAAGATACTAGTCACCATCTAAGGACCAATATAAAACACAGAACAAGCATTCAGAGACCAAGAACCCAGGCCATAAAAGGGGCACTGTCTGTGAACTGAGTGTTTCCTGGAACTGATGTGGGCAGGGCTTCAGGACAAAGCTTCTTAGGTAAGTCAAACTAAAGTCTACTCTTAGAGCTGGTTTTCCCGTTATCTTCTTTTCCTGCAAAGACCCAAAGTCTCAATGCTTAGAGTCACATTCTTGTCCTCTTTGGGGCTTTGAAGTCTTAGGGGGAGGGAGGTGAGCAGTACTTGAACCTTTCCAGAGGAGAGGCAAGAGGCATGTCACCACTTAACACAGTCACAGAACATTATCTCCTGCTCACAGGGAGCTGAAACAACCAACACAGACAAATCCGGGAATGTGTGTCATCTTAGATATCCACTTCCCATCAAAAAAAGATTAAAAAAACCTGCTCCTTTGTTGCTATTCAGACCCACATCTTTATTCTCAATGCTGACTCAACATTAAAATCACCTAGGGAGCTTCTAAAAAGGGCCACTTCTCAGAGCACACTCAGACCAATTACCTAAAAATCTCAAGAGTCAGCTCAGGATATCTGAGCTGCAGTTATTTCCCAGAAGCTTCCCAGGAGTTTCGTGGGCAGCCAGGGTTGCTCTGGGGCCTCTCTCACCTTTGCCCATCTTTGCTGTGCACCCCAAACTTTCTAACCAACTTCACTTATCACCAACCTTTGGCTTAATCTTTATATTCACCTGATCTTAGCACTCATGCTCTAGCCATTAACACTTAGGCACTTATCCCACACCAAAGCCTTTTGTCCCTCAACTCTCTCACTTCCAGTGACATCCTTTTGTTCAGTTCCATGGAAGACACCCACCCCCAAGGTCCACTCTGGGTCTTGTCCTTACCCACTTCCAAAATAACCCACTGAAACTTCCCAAGTATTCCACATTCAAACAATGTGTGGAAATGATGCTACGATGGGATACTAGAGGAGATTCACCTGCTAAGCTCGTTTCTCAACTTCCTTTAGCCTCACCACCAGTGATGACTTCTATTTTCTCTTAAATCACAAGACTTCCCTTTCCTCCCTTATCCATTCTTGCACTATAAGCCATTAATGCATTAATAGTCCTGTTGATACTTTCACTTTATTCCTGTTACTTTTTGCTGCACTCGCCTGTCTTCCCTGGGCTTACACTGATGCAGTCGCACTCTGCCTATCTCCATCAGCCTCAAAGCACCAACAGCCAGGGAGCTCACAGTTCTTCTGCAACACGACAAAGCCATGCTCCCACTCAGCATGCAACTTTATATCCATGCTGTGTCCTGTCCTCTCGCTGAGCACTTCAACTATCTCATGTTCTACTTGCTCGGATAAGAACATCATCTCCATTATGACAAACATCATCCTTACTTCTATCAGCACCCTCCCTATCACCCTTCCCTCATCAAAATATTAAGAGCCATTCCTTCCACACTACCTCCTGCCTCTTCCTCAGGATACCACCCTATGAGCCTTTCTTCCTCTCAAGTGGATCCTTCTCAATGGCTTTCAAACATGCCCAAGTCTCCCCAACTCAAAAACAAAACAAAACACAAAACCCTTTGACAGCCCAAAAGTTGACTTGCCCATTCCATTCTAGGTCTCTAGCTACCCCCCCTCCCATTTTCCTCCTTCATAGCTAAGTGCTAGAAAAGACACGAAGAAGACCTGTTGTTATTTTCTCACCTCTCCTCATTCCTCAGTACGCTCCAGGGTGGTTTGTGCCTCAGCTCTCTCCCCACCTGCCCTCACTGCCCTCACTAGCAACAGCAATCATCCTCACCTGGCCAAATGGAAAGGTGAAGTTCGTCCCTATCTGACTGGCCCGCCAGTATCATGGGATGCTGCTGGTCACTTCTGTTCCTGCTGGGTCTGGTATGTCCACCCTCCACAGGTGCTTCCTACTTTTCAGCCACTCCCTCCTTGTCTCCTGTGATGGCTTGATTCTTTCAGACCCATTACAGGGATGCCACCACTTCACGGCTAGCCCTTTCTAATCTATTCCTGGTAGTAACTTCACCTGGTTCTGTGCTGCAGATGGTCTGTAAATCATCCCATGGCTTAGGGGGCTAAAGACTGCTGCAACGGTACAGTGGCCGGAGGTTGCAAGAGCAGCTAAACAGGTGCACTACAGCTAAGCAGCTAAAGAAAAAATATTTTAGCTTTCTGCATTTCTTCTTCAGGCTGCTGAATCTCAAGTGAATCCTCCTACTCTGAACTAGTGAAAAGACACTGATATATCTGAGCACACACACCCTGGGGTGAAAAGTGACTTCATCAGGTAAAAAACTATTTTGGCAAGGTCATTAAGAAACATAAAAAGAGCAAAAATTTAAAGTGACAAACTAAGTCATTCCCTATTACCTAAAAAAAGATATTAATGATGCACAAAATGGTGAATGGCTATCCCTACAAAATCAAATACAGAAATAAGTGCCAGCAAGATTACAGGGAAAGGAGCCCTCTACCTTGCTGGTGGGAATGCAAACTACTATTACCACTATGGAAATCAGTTATGGAAGGTTTTTTTTTTTTTTGTCTTTTTTAAGATAGGGTCTCACTATGCAGTTCAGACTGGCCTTGAACTCTCTTTGTGGCCCACACTGGTCTTGAACTTATAATGATCCTCTTGCCTGAGCCTCCTGAGTGCTGGGATTACAGTCATGAACGACCACGCCCAACTTGGAGATTCTTTTAAAAAAGTTAAAAAAAGCTGGGGTGATAGCTTGGCAGTCTAAGTGCCAACCTGGAAAGCACAAGGACCCAGGTTTGATCGCTGGTGGCGCACGCCTGTAATCCTAGCACTAGGGAGGCTGAGACAGAGAGGACCACTACGAATACAAGCAGTATAGTGAGACCCTGTACCAAATCAATCCATCAATCAATCAACCAAGCAATTTGAGTTCAATTTGACTCAGCTAGATATTTTCCCAAAAGAGTTGAAGTCCTACTACACTGATACATACATAACCATCCATGTCTATGGCTGAATCTGAGAACTACGCTACATGCCTATCAATAGATGGGTAAACAAAAGGTGGTATTTATACACAACAGAGCACTACTGTGCCATAAAGGATGACAAACTTGAGGTATCCTTTGATAAATGGATGCACCTTCAGATGGAATAAATCAGACACAGAAGCTTAAATATCACATGGTTTCTCTTATATGAGAATCCCAAAATATGGACAGCAACATAAAAGATAATACAAAGTAGGGAGATGGTTTTCAAATGGGAAGGGAACAAGAGGTGGAGAGGGAGAAATAAGGAGTGGGGAATAAAAGAGAAAAAAAATGCCAAAACAGAGATTTTATAAATGAGAATGAGAACAAAAGTCAGAAGAAGGGAGGGATAGAATGGGTAGAGGCTGAAAAAAAATTAAGATGTGTTATGTACATGTACCAACTCCCCATGATAAATGTAATAATTACATGCTGCAAATACATACTAGTAAAAAAAAAATTTAAAGTGATGTAAACATAGAAATGCTAAGGCACTTGTAAGCATCTCAATTAAGTTTGTACCTACAAGGTTTGTCCATGAAAAAGAAATTTATTTACCTTTACAACATGGCAGAGTTTCTGTGTCAGAGCTGAAACTGAACTGACATCATAGTCCTGAAGACGAAATGTGTAACCAAAAGTTTTAGCATATTCCGTGAGCAGATCTGCCATCATAAGACAGTTATCTTTTTGGGATCGAAGAAGTTTAACAAACTGGGCAGCTAGAGCTTTGAACCGTTCAACCTCTGTCAAAGTAAGGATTTTTTCTTCTCCACATTCCAATACCTTGGAAAACACACAGGAAGGAGGAAAAAGAAACTGAGAGAACTATTCATGAAAGTAAATGTCATTAAAATGTATTCAAAGGGTAACAAAAATGTATACAAAGGGTAACAAAAATGTACACTGGTGTTGTTTAATGGGTGCAAATTGGTTGCACAGTAACATGAACATATTTACTGTTAAAATGTACACTGAGAAAGGGTGGGGATGGTAAGTTCTGCTATGTGTATTTCACAAAAATAACAAAACTCAGGACCAGGGAAATAGCTCAGTGGCATAATCTTGGCTAGCACAAAGTCCCAAGTTAGATCCCCAGTACTGCAGAAAACAAAACAACAACAACAACAAAAAACTCTTACAAGTCTTTTAAAAGTCAAAGATAATACTAATAAAATCAACAGAAACTTGATTTTACCTACCAATAACAGCAATTTAGTATTGATATGACGTATAATCACTCTCACCTCCAACACAAGAGATTTGACAAGTATGGAGTTAATGAAAGAATATCCAATTTAAGAAACTAAACTAATAAACTCTTTTCTCAACAACTGCCTTACAACAAGTTTGAAAAACAATTCCTTATTAAAAAAAAAAGGGGGGGGGGCCAGGGAGATGACTCAGTGGAATAAGTGCTTCCCTGGCAAGCCCAAGGGCCTGAGTTCAATCCCCAGTTCCACCAAAAAAAAAAAAAAAAGCTCCCTCAATTGTCTAAAAATATTAATAAATAGCTTCCCTAAAGGGACTATTTCTGACTGTCATACTTCTTTAACTCACTACTTTTCAGGAGAAAACATCCTCAAAATGGGGGGGAAAATCCTTTTACACCGTTTGGAAAATTACTTAAAGAATTAGAACTTTTTACTCACTTGTAAAATATCAGGTATGGCTTCAAAAAGTTCAAGTAGTTTGGTAAACCCATAGTATGCAAGTTTGCACTGACGGCCAAAGTGGTGATGGTAAGAGGGAATAAACTTATTAAAGGGCATCCGGAAGTGGGGCTGGTGACGTAACAAATCAACAACATCCTTGGAGAACTGTTTTGTCCTTTCTATTTCATCCTGAGTACGTTCTTTAAAAAAGAAACAAATCAAAATATCAATCAGACTTTTCCCATTTTTGCTAAACATCTGTAACAAATCCAACTGAGAGTCCACAAGAGATCATCTCTGATTTCTTTTTTATTTTATTTTTTTTCCCATAATTTTATTGAGAAACAAATAGCAATGAGACAGTTTCAAACCAAATCGGTAAGACAGTTTCAATAATTAACACACTGCATACATTCTTCCTAGTGGTTAATTGCTGTACAAGATGCGGACATGATATCCTATTTATAAACACCATTAGAAGAAATCCCTCTATTCATTAAGAGAAAGTAACTATATATCTATCCCGACCATTTTGAATACACAGATACCAAATGGACATTCATCTATATCCCCTTTTTTTGTTTAGTTTCGTTATTTGATATTATAGGTATGTTAACTCAGCAAAATATCATCTCTGATTTCTGAACATACACAACCAAAAGCAAACACACGTACTCTTCCTTGTCAGCAAGTGACTCTAACACATAGTCAAGAGCAAAAAACTGGAAAGTCATACTATTACAGCACACTGTGAAATAAATAAGTAATCTTTCAAGCTAGGAACAATTTTTTTCTGACCATCAGCCCCAAACCTTGTATATATGAACAGAACAGACACAGATCCAGGTATTTACAAAATCTGAGTTGGGCCTAATAGCACAAGCCTGTAATACTACACAGCCCTAGGGGGCTGAGGAAGGAAAATCTCAAGTTCTAAGACAGCCTGTGCAACATGCCAACTGACTGAGCCTGTCTCGAAATAAAATGTAAAAATGGGCTAGAGATGTACCGCAGTGCAGAGGCCTAGGCTCAATTCTCAGTACTGAAAAATAAATTCAATGTGTAGCTAAAGACTAATGTAGGCAACATACTGTATTTTCCCAAAAATAAAACTTACCTAAAAAACAAGTTCTAGCATGATTTTGGAGGAAACATTTCCTAAAAATGAGCCTTATTTCTAAGAAGTATTTGAAAAGCACTAAATATGCCTTTTTCCCTTTCAAGTGAATTCAAAAAAAACCTAGCCAGGTCCAATGGCACACACTTGTAATCCCAAGTACTCGGGAGACTGAGGCAGGAGAATCTCAACCCTGAGCTTGAGCTGGGGCAACTTGGCAAGGCCCCCTAGGAATCCCCTAAAACACTACACCTTAAAATAATAATTATTGAGCCCAGCATGATGCCATGTGTCTGAGGTCCCAGCTCTTAGGAAAATGGGAGAGAAGGATTACCTGACCTCAGGAATTTGACATCAGCCTACGCAACACAGTGAGACCCCATCTCAAAAATAAATAATCGGGGATATGTTGGGAGCCACTAAGCTAGGAAATCAATCAAATATATGTAGGTGGAACTTGGCCCAGTATCTAAAGTAAACAAGCTACCTCATGCATGAGATGAACATCCTGTCTGGTTAAGGTTTGCTATCAATTGCTAAGCAACCTAGTGTCATGTGATACTAATTTTACAAAAGTGTAAACAAAAGATAGTTTTGTTATGAAAAAATAAATAATCACTGAGACAGACATTCTCCCAGGGACTGTAAGCTGTGTACCTCTTTTGGGAATACAAATCACCATGTCCTTATCTTGTTGAGACAAGCAGATGGTTGTGTCTGGAATCTCTGATATGATATCAATCAACTCGCAAACACCATACTCAGTGACATCCCAGTCCTTTGAGAAACACCTAAATTTTCACATTAGAAATGGGTAAAGAAAAAAAAAAAAAAAAAGAAATGGGTAAAGAGTAAAATCACTGCTCAAATAACTACATGTTTTCTAAAAGAGTGCTTAATAGACAATGAGATAACTGTTTATAACTTAGGGGAAAAAGTATTTTAAAATATTTGCTTTCACTTTATTACTTCATCAACTCACCAGTGATAAGCCTGCGAGAATTCTCTTACAATGACCTGTTTGCTAGCCTGGGACTTGAGAAGTTTCAGTAAATCCTGAGTAAAGCGCTTCACCTGGGCCCTGTGAGTGAGGGTCAACAGACGTTTGGAGCCCATTCCAAGAATCTGCAAAACAACCACGTTGAGCACTTATGCTCCACAGCCCTCCAGGAAAGGATTTTCCAGTACACTCGTACATGTGTTCACTCTCTGCCCTGCCACCCCTTTCCTTTCACCACTCTCACTGAATTATTCCTACAGAGGTCAAAAAAACCAACTATCTACAAGGGTGGTGGTACATATATGTAATCTCAGTACTTAGAAGGCTGAGGCGGGATTCCGAGTTTACCACAAAAAGCAAGTCTGGCTAACTGACTGGTTCTGTACATCCTCTCATAAACAGTCGTAAGTATAAAAATAACAATATGTAATATAATAACCATTGTTAATTTTCTACCTTGTTTTGAAATTCTGGATCATTTTTGTTTTCTCTTTATAATTTTTTTGAAAAGTGCAGTACAGTCTGAACAACTAATTTTTTTCTTCTTTCTGTATTTAGGACAGGGTCTACAGGGTCTTACTACATAGATAGGACTCGTAGTGATTCTCCTGTTTTCAGCCTCCCAAATGCTGGGATTATAGGCATGTGCCACCACGCCCAGTCTCAATCACCATCTCAGTGCGCCCTGTGGGCAGGGCCAGCACAGCATGCCAGGGATTGAACCCCGGCTGCTGCACTCTGCCCAAGCATGTGCTTTAATCCGCTGAGCTATCAGGTGAGCCCCTTGAACAACTAATTTTGCAAAGAAAAGCAGCTAACATTTTTCAATTTGTTTTTACAAGTGAGAAACTAGAAGTTAACAAATTAACATGCAAAATCTTTATCAGATCTGATCTGCACTCCCACTCAATAACTAGTCCCCAGCTTGTAGAGAAAATTAAGCCCCGACTCTCCAAAGCCACAAGTGTATAAGCACCGTGATGTTCACAGTGGCTCCCCCACAATGGACAATTCTGGAGAGAGATGTGCTGTGAAGAGGAAGGAGTCAGGCCTCAGAGATTAGAGTAAGAACTCTGCAGTCCTCAAAGGAATGCCTTGAAGTTGGAAATCTGTAGCTTCCTAGAAAACTGAGATATTACCTTGTATATGTTTACTGCACTTTAAATAAAGCATATTTAGAGGATGTTTTGCTCAGAACTGGTTTCTTAGGAATTATGTTACTATCTGCTATACATATCTTTGGTGAGGGGAAAGACTTTAAATAATTCCTCGGCACTTCTTACCTGCAACACATGAGGCACTGCTTCTAATAATTCAATCAGCTTGGAATATCCATAGTCTGAAACTCGGCACTGCTTTGCAAAATGATGGTGATAGGCTGGGATGAAATTACTAATTGGTATGATACAAGACTGTTGGTTCTTCAGTAAGTCAATCACTTCTCTACTGAACTGGATCAGCTGGGGGTTACCCACAGGACTTTTAGAACGCAACAGCCAAGAGTCTACAGAGAAAGAAAGAACATGTGTAAGAAAAGCATGACCTCAGCAGCTGAAAGGAAAATAACTGCCATTCAAAGCTACAAAGTCCAATCATGAGCACGCAAGGGAAACAAAAGTTGTCTGAGTCTTAGCTTCTATACTGAGATTTCAAATAATCACCTGGCTACTAAAACATACCATGAACTGACAAAGCAAAGTAAAGCACAGCTCACGTAGTGCTACTTTTAGTGAAAACACACAGGAATTTTCCAGTCCACTCAGGTTGTACTTCAAAGATCCATTTGCAACTTGTGCATGAGGAATATACTTCCCCATAGAGTAAAAATTATACATGTTATTGGTTAGGAGGTCCAGAAGGTGAACCAAACCACGGTGTAGCTGAGTTTGTTACTCCAGAAAATGAAGACCAGTAATGGTAGAAAACTATTATGACAAAACTGAGTAAAAGACATTTGGTATTAACTTAATGCTCACATTATTTTTTTAAAAATTAGATAAAAACCTTTATAAAAAGATGGAGGGCCTTCCTTGTTATTCTTGCTGCCTTCTGCCCACCATGAACTGCTTCTCCTTGTGATGCCTATCTGCCATGCCACCCTGCCTTGGATGCAACCAATGAAGGACCAAAACCTCTATAAACTAAGAGCTAAATAATCCTTTTCCCCTTAAAAAAAGGGGGGGGGGTTGTGAAGGGGCTCATGGCAAGAGGTAGAACAATACATGAGTCCACTAAGACTGAAGGGGAAGAAAGGAGAAGTTCAGTCGCAAACTTTGGTACAAAGATTTCTCCTCCAAGCACCCTGACTAGCCAGAACATCCCGATCAGCCTTATTTTTTCCATGGAAGGAAACAGCATATATTGGTCAAAAAGAAGGAAATACATATGTACAGATGTATGTATGTACATATGTATATACGTGTGTATGTACATATATATGTATGTATGAAGGCAACAATTTAAAGTGCTGTTTATAGGTAGTGCCACCAGACATTAGCAACTCAGGGCATATCCATCACTGGCAGATGATGTGGCTCCTCCCAGTCCTGGAGGAGCTCAGGACTATATCCCCAGCACCTACCCGTGTTGGGAGGTGGAGGCTTGTCGTGAATCCACTTCACCACTTTGACACCATTCTGAGCAGTGGCAATGTTCACATCTGGAATGCAGGTGATGAAGTGTTCCAAGGGGACACCCCCTTGGTTTTCCTGCACTAACTCTAGGTCACCAAACTCTGCAGCATAGCAATCGGGAAAGCTAAGGTGTAGAAAAACAAAGGTTAGAATAATGCAAAATATAAGCACCAGCAAACAAGAGGCTTTACTTCCCTGTATCTGTTCATAAGTGTCTTCTGTTTAAATGCTCACAATTTGGGTTTGAATGTTAAAACTGAGGTCCTGGGGTGATATCAAAATGGTAGCAGAAAATTTCTAGGCCATTTTCCAGAAAGCTTAAATAGAGGGGAGGAGGGGTCCAGGGGTCAGTGATTCATCTGGTTTAATGTACGGGGCAATGAGGCCTCTTTGTCCTCTGTTGGTCTTCGTATTAAGTATAGCCTTAAGTGGTTAGACAGATTTCTGATAAAATGTGCAAGTAGTTGAGGTTCTGTACATCCCCTGGAACCTATCAGACTTCTATTATAGAAACATTGAGTGAACAGATCATATTTCAGACCCCCTTCAACTTCAAGGCCAAGCACATTAGAATGAAGCCCTCCCCAATACTTGGAGTAGTGAGAGGGGGCAGATAGTCTGTAAAAAGAACTACGGCATTACACTGAGAAAGCAAGCACAGTTCACCTTAATAAAGGCACAGTGCCCTCGTGGGTCCGGAGGAGGGTGTGAACCTGGGGTACAAATGTCTTCAAATAAAGAATCACAAAAGGAATCTTATAAGAATCTGGATCAAATTCATGTTCACTGTAGGAAAAAACAGGAAAATAGTTGATATTCCTCAAGTGTCTAAAATGATCAGAACATAATTAATTTTAATAGATATTCCACAATTTTATATCATAATCTTACAAAATTATACCTTACAGAAAACAATGACACACCTGAAATCCTTATGAGAACAATGCTGTCTGCAAATGGGCTCATGATACTCTAACTCTTCAAATATAATTGGGCTGCAATTTGTGGACGAGCCATCATGCGACTGGGAAGACCCCAGGGGGCTCTGGCGGGCCTGACTACTGGGTAAGAGACACACCAGCCGCCCATTTCCTTGTTCACGGATTGTGACTGTGTCTGTTAACTTATATAAATCTGACACATTCAACTTGTGTCCAAACCTAAAAAGTGAAAAGAAAAAAAGATGTGATAGTTAGAGAATGTTTCCTTTTATAAACAAAAACACTCAACCTGTTTAAATAGTTCAGTCAGGGTCAGCCAAATAGCAATGGATTAAAGTGCCTGCAAGCAGGTGCAGGGGCCATGGGTTTGATCCCTGGGCCTGCCACGCTGGCCCTTCCCCCAGGGCATGCTGAGACAGCAATTGAACCTGGGCATGGTGGTGTGCACCTGTAATCCCAGCCTTTGGGAGGCTGTAAACAGGAGAATCATTAGGAGACCAATTTAGTGGTGAGACCCTGAACATCCTGTAGACCCTTCCCTAAAATACGAAAATAATAAAATAAATAAAATAAATAGTTCAGTTAAAACCCAGAATGGTTCCCCATCTCTTCAAGAGTAGCAGCAGACTACTCTGTGAATTCATTCACTACTGAGCCAGGGATGTGCAGGCCTCCTTGAAGTCATCCCTGGCCCAGTGCCCAGGATGGTGACCGCATCATTAGGCGGTGTCTCCTCTATGCCTGCCTAGATTCTGAAAAATGCCCTCACCGAAGTTTGAGATGAAAGGCTGTTTCACATGGCTACTCACAGACTGGCTCCCCTTCACTTTCATGTCCCTCTGTATTACCTCTCACCACAATGCTCTCTGCCTCAGAAGTGTGCCCCTTCCCTATGCCTCAGCTGCATGACCAACATCCATCCCCTGAGACTGAACAACTAAATCACCCATGACTAGGATCTTTCATACTTGGAGATTAAAGCCCATACTCTGGAGGCACAGCGGAGTTCACATCCTGATTCAATTTCAACCATCTGACCTTAGTCAAGACACACAATCATGGGCTGGGGACATAGCTCAGCAGTCTAAGTGCCTGCCTGGCAAGCGTAAGGACCTGAGTTCAATCCCTGGTACTGCATGCAGTGCCAGCCCTATAATGCCAGGCATGTGCTGTGCCAGCCCCAAAACTAGGCATGCCTGTAATCCCAGTGCTGGGGAGGCTGAGACAGGAGGATCACTATGAGTCTGAACTGTGTAGTGAGACCCTGTATCAGATAGATAGATAGACAGACAGACAGACAGACAGACAGACAGACAGCCAGCTTGCTTGACTGATCACACAATTCCATGTGGACCCCATCTGTAAAATAGGGTGATCATAACTTCATCTCACAGGGTTGCTAGAAGGATTAAATGTGATTAAGCATGGACAGAGTTACTTTATGGGATGTGCCTAACAACACTACATACTTTCTTGTCTGTCAGCCCTCTACCTGCGCTCAGACCTTCCCAGATGCCCATTCTCTCCTGACCCAGGGCAACATGCATTCTCCCTTATGTTCTCACACTCTTGTTTATGCAGCCTCTCTGGAGATGCTCATTTTACTCAATAGCTCCGTGGCTGCCAGTGGCCTCCACCTCATTCCTAGTCTCAGTGTCCTTGAATCCCTGCCCCTGTAAGGCCCACATGTCTGAAGTGCTTTTTCCACATATCCTTCTTACAAATTTCTCACTCGCAGGACGACTCCAACCCCTCCCCGGTGCCACCTCTCTGGCCCTCCAGCCCTGTCCAGTTCTGCCCTTCACTTCTCCTCCAACCTCCTTTGCTCGCATGGGCTTCCATACTGATCACCTTCAGGGAAACAGCTGCCAAGTCTGGGGCACTGACCGCTCTTCTAAGGGAGCCTCCAAACACACAGGAGAGGTAGAGAACTTACCCAGCTACTCCCGGGGACCCCTGGAATCCCTATGTCCAAAACCAAGAATAATCACTGTATTCTGTACTCACACTTTCACCCATATGTCCAGCTTGACTACCAGACACTGGTCTCAGTCATCCATGGGAAAGGGGATGCAAAAGCTGACTCTTCCTTTTCACACTGCTCCTTAGCACCAGTACCCACTCTTGCTTCACTGACACCTGAAGTTTCTGTGGCATCCAGTCTCTTCTATTCCCAAAGCCTTCTCAGATCTGGGCCTGAGTAGCACTGCCCCCCTTGCTCTCTCCTTCCCTGTTTATTCCACCTGACACTACTGCCACCAGGAAAGTCTTCCAGAAGAACAGTTCTTGTCATCATACCTGGGCCCTCCTCTCCCTCTTCCACTATTTCAGTGCCTCCCATTATCCATGCAGTGATAGTCAAGGTCCTTGTTTTTTTCTCTCCTGCACTATTATGGCTTTGTCTGTGCATGGAAGTCACCAATAAATGCTGACCAAATGAATGAAACAAAAAAATGTAACTTACTTTTTTTCATAGATATCTGTAAACTTAAAAAGAGGCAAACAACAGGCAGGTGCATCCTGAAGAACAGACATTGTTTCTGCACTGTAAGACAAAATTTGTAACTACTTAGAGAACAGACTATTCCTCTACAGTGATTTTTTAAACAATCTACAAAATTAACCTGATGTTTCTGCAAAATAGATCTGCCAGTTTCTGATAGGTGAGAATTGGCTTTCTAGGAAAATTTAAGGATTTAAAAGAACAAATCATTGAAAGATTAAGTCACACGGGGCTGGGGAAGTAGCTCAGTAGAATAAGCTTTTGCCTGGCAAGTGCAAAGGCCTGAGTTCAATCCCTGGTTCCACCAAAAAAAGGAAAAAAGAAAAAAGATTAAGTTACATACTAGTATTTGTGTCAGACTCAATCATAGGGCTTTCCACATCTCCAGGTACTGATTATGTATAGCAGGACAAACTCTTGAGAAGTTAAAGCAGAAAGGCAGAAGAGCTTATAGGCTCTCCTGCCACAGTGCAATTTAAATGTTATACATACAGGGCTAGCAAGATAGCTTGGCGATCTAAGCACCTGCCTGTCAAGGGCAAGGACCTGAGTTCAAATCTCAGTACCACAAGCCATGGCAGCCCTGGAACCCCTGGTGCATTGTGCTAGGCCCGAAGACGGGGCATGGTGGGGCACACCTGTAATCCCAGTACTAAGGAAGCTGAGACAGGAGGATTACTATGAGTCTGTACTGCGTAGCAAGACCCTGTAACAAATAAATAAATAAATATCAAAAGAAAAAGGTTGCTCAGTGCTCGCTTTAGCAGCACATACACTAAAATTGGAACAATACAGAGAAGATTAACATGGCCCCTGTGCAAGGATGACACACAAAGTCGTGAAGCGGTCCATATTTTTTTTTCTAAATTTCCATGTAAAAACATGTAATTGTTTATTCTAATTTTTAAAAAATATATATATA